CTTTTTTTTTTTTTTTTTTTTTTAAACAAAAATACAGCTGTAGTTTATTTGGTAATTTAACGGCATATGATTTAAATCAATATAAAATTCAAATACTTTTGTGCCACCTGTTGGATTTTGCCACTAATTACATGTGACTGGAAGCCCACTTCTGCATTCAGTGTGGGAAGTATTGCCCATAAATGCTACTAGGTGCCGTTATGAAAATGCTCCTTTTTTTGCTGTTTAAAAATACTTTCTCTCTGGGCAGGCAGATAGACCTGGTTTTTCCTCATAAAAATCTAATTCATAAATTATAGCCAGCATTCAATGAAAGCACAGGGTGGTGCAGGGCTGGAGTCAGAGTTCTTGTCATAAGGTAATATTTGGAAATGTTTTTAATGGAGAAACTGCAGTCTGAAGGCCCGAGAGGTGGAAACGACTGGCTCTAGACACACAAAAGCATAAACGCACCTGGCAGTATCCATGGGCCAAGAAAGGGAGGAGTACACCAGGCCTGTGCTTTCCCCATGCCTGTGGATACACAAACAAGTACCAGCACTACTTCTCAGGCTATCAATCATGGGCAGTCATACAACACAAAGCATGCCAAATGTTATACAGTTGAGACTCGCTCAAAAAATAATTTCGTTCGATCCTTCTTTAGTAGCTGTCAAGTCATAATGTCAGGACGCATTTTATTGTATAAGAATAACCTGATTTTATTTCACATTAAGTGTCCGGACTAATTTATTATATAATAATATTATTTTAGAATGCTCAGGTATAAATGAACTTCAAATAAAACCACAGTCCTAGAAGAATCTGAAAATTCACCAATTATTTTATCTCGATCTCACTAGAACAGATAACCTGTGGGTTATCAGGTGTCTTGTTACTCCTCTGCGTCTAATAACACTGCAGATACCCTCCTGTTCTCTGAGATCAGGAGGTGTGGAAGCATGCACAGAAGTGCAAGTGCATAGGGAAAGAGTGTCCTGCTCCTCCTTCTTCCCAGCTGTCACCACTAAACTGAAAGCGGGAGGTCCCCATAATGCCACTTTCATACAGCGAAGGGTGAAAGGCTCTGTTGCCATCTCTGCTTCTTATGAAATGGTAGATGACTGCCATCCCTCCAAGGGATGAGAAATGGCACCAGCTAACAGAAGTGTTCTTCCATGTGGACAACAGAAATAGATATAGCCCTCAGATCACTTTAGTTTGCTCCATTTACATCTTCTTACATAATTTTTTCCATTTTTAAACAGAAAGCACACAGGATTAGTAACCTATAAAATGGGGTGTTGGGCTTATTTTCAGTTTTGCATACAAATACAGCCATCTTTGTGGTACATATGTTTCCACAGTGTCTTCTATGTTCAAATGCAAAAGTTTAAAAAGACATGAAGTACTGTTTAATGAAAATATAATACACCTGTTTTCTAAGCTGTTTGTGTTTTTAAACCCAAAGCTGGCAAAAGACTTAAATACAAAATTGAATTACGAAATTAATAAATCATATCAGGCAAAAGGTATGTCCAATACAGTATTTCAGTGCTGACATCTGTCAGTCTGATTCACAGAAGTCTTTAGTGATAACTTTAGCTGAGTCTTCTATTAGCAAACAGTATCTTTAAATTGACTCCAATCAACCCCATTTTTATCTGCTTTGGATTTTGTGATAACCCTGCTTCAAAATCTTCCCTGGTTTTATGAGGACAGTTTTCCACTGAACAGTCATAAATGGCCACAAAATGTGTAAGACAGCAGAAAAATACACCAAGTAAAATTAAAGTGTTTACACACCAGTATTTTGCTCTTGGCAAGTGCATAAGTGACTTCACAAAATGCAAGTCAGTGCACATTACATATTACACATTGTCTTTTTAGACCAGTCCTTAAGCAACATGAGCACGTCCCAGGGCCCCAACACAATGGCTGTGTTTTTGTTCAATTTCTAAAGACTCATAAATAGCATCTCAGAGTTTAGTTCCTAATGTGGTAAAAAAAATACGATGGCTTGGACTAAACTGAAACACAGTTATTTAAAAAATGCACAACTGACTTCACCAGTTCCATTCCCATCAACTTCTCTCTCATGTGAATTATATAAATTATTTGTTGTAAATTTATAGCTACATACTCAAATAAGCCAAGAAGCAGGGAAAACAGTGTTACACCATTTGACATCTTTCCTGCAGGAGAAAAAAAAAAATTAAAAAGAAGCAGCTCCCATTTAGCTAGTACTTTTAAAAGCAACTGTAAATAAGTTGATGAAATTTCTTGTGTAGTGGGATTTAAAAATTAAGGAGCCTTTCTTAGAGTGGAGGAGTCAGTAAAAGTTTAGTCATTGTAAGCCAAAATCCAAAGAGGAGTACATCAATTAAGAAAGAAACAGTGATTTTTCTAATCCTCTTTCTTAGCAAACCTGGGTAGACTTCTTTGATGAAGACAAGGTTAGGACAAAAAGCTTTGGCTTGGTATTGATACTAATCCTTTCTTGTACGAAGGAAGAACTTTAAAAGATCTAAAAGGAGCACCACACAATAGTATCAAAGACCTGCAGAAGTCATGAAGCATATGATGTCTCAGCTGCACGAAGTCACAAGGAGCACAAATACAAATATTTGCTGTAGAGGCAGTTGGATCCCTGCCTGGGAGGGAGGGAAGGAGG